AGCAGCCCACTCTTTCAAGGGCCTGCGGGGAGCTTTCCTCTGACACTCCAACCCAGTGGCTAAAATTAAAATATATTGAGCCAACAAGCAGCCTCCAGTAGTCCTTTAACAAATGACCCCTTAAACCCCATAGCACAGATACAACTCACCTCTTCCTCCCCACACACTGTGCAGCCACGGGAAAAAGCCCTGCAGGACGCGTCCCTGTGGCAGCTCCTTTTTCCAGAGGCAGCAGCTCTGCTTCGCAGGCAGCCCCATGTCCTTCCCAAAGCACCTCCTGTCCTTCCCAAACACACCTCCCAGGATGGCAGTGTGGAGACGGGGAGCACAGTCCACCCTCCCAGGCCAGAATATCCCTGCAGCCGTACCAGGAGAGGCTGTGTCCCCAGTTCATCACAAGCACTGGGATAGGACCAAGCCAAACAGGCGTTTAAAGTTTTCTGTCAAGGCTCTAAAAAGTCAAAATGGGTCAGGAGAGGAGAAAGGTTGGAGAAGGAGAGGTGGCCAATGGGAAGAGCGGAGGAATCCAGCCCTTGCAGTAGGAAACATTGGACATGGCAAGTAAAGCGTTGAGAAGCAAGCTGGGCTCAGTATTTCTACCAGCAGCACAAAAAGTGGCCATTCACTTGGGTCTACAGCTTGTCTGATCTCTCAGACTCCCGACACCACCTCCAGAGCCGTACGAGATCATCACAGCACTCACAAGGAGACCAGCAGCAAAGAACAAGATATCACAGGCACTGCCAGTGTGGGACAGGAACCCTTCAGAGAAACAGTGACTGCCTGGCAGGAATCACATGCTCCCTCCTCCTCACGCCTCTGACAGCAGCCTGACAACAGGCTTTGCTCAGCTAACGCACGAGCTGCCACTGTCAATTGCTCTGTACAAGAAAATTTGCTACAGCCAAAAAAAAAATACCCAAACATCCGGAAGGGATGATCCATAGTCTCCAGCTTCACGTAAAGAATAGGTTGAACAAACAACTCTTGGGCCTTGATTCAGTCAAGGTGGTGTTGCCTGAAGAAGAGCAGTGGACTAGATCTTGACATCCAGCTTGACCTCTCTGGCTTTCCAAGGCCAGATTAATCTCAGGAAATCCCCCTTTCCCACCTGCCCAAAGGGCTGATCCTCTCATTCTCAGATCTGGAAAGCTTGAAACAACCCAGAATCACACACCTCCAAGAGAAGCTTCTCTTTCACACATTGCAGAAATCCTCCCAACTGTTTTGAAAGTCAGGTGTGTTTTTTTAAGAGCTTGTGAATAAATTATAGAGAAGTCTGATTCTATCAGTCCTTTCTGATTTTTTGTGTTACTCTAGAAAAGGATCTTGACAGATGAGAGAGAAAGGGAAGTACCTCCAGTCTACATGGCACTAGCCTTCACTTTAAAAACCTGCTCAAACCAGAACAGTGAAATACAATCAAACTAAAGCAATTATTTCAGTGCAGGAAAAGGGGTACACGAACACTTATTTTTTGACTGATACAGTGAGGTGTGATTTTGCTTGGGTCAGCTGTGCTTTGCACTGAAATACTGACAGCTTTAGAGAACACAGGCTGCACCTTGAGAAGACAATAAGCATTAATAAAAAGGCAGCTGGGGGTGGAAGGCAAAGCAGCCCACTCTTTCAAGGGCCTGCGGGGAGCTTTCCTCTGACACTCCAACCCAGTGGCTAAAATTAAAATATATTGAGCCAACAAGCAGCCTCCAGTAGTCCTTTAACAAATGACCCCTTAAACCCCATAGCACAGATACAACTCACCTCTTCCTCCCCACACACTGTGCAGCCACGGGAAAAAGCCCTGCAGGACGCGTCCCTGTGGCAGCTCCTTTTTCCAGAGGCAGCAGCTCTGCTTCGCAGGCAGCCCCATGTCCTTCCCAAAGCACCTCCTGTCCTTCCCAAACACACCTCCCAGGATGGCAGTGTGGAGACGGGGAGCACAGTCCACCCTCCCAGGCCAGAATATCCCTGCAGCCGTACCAGGAGAGGCTGTGTCCCCAGTTCATCACAAGCACTGGGATAGGACCAAGCCAAACAGGCGTTTAAAGTTTTCTGTCAAGGCTCTAGTTTGAAGTTATCACAGTCCAAATCTTCTTCTGTTGAGAGAAAAACCCATTCCTGTGGTCTGACTTCTTTGGCCCAGTCATGTGAATTACTCATTTCTAGGTTTTCTTTTTCTGTTACATTTACACCAGAATTTCTCATGGCTGCTGGTTCACATCATGCAAGCCCTGCCAACTGCCCACAGCCTTTTCAGCCACCAAGCAAACGTTTCTGCAATTACCCTTTGTTTGCATAGTTTATTTAATGAGACACCCGGAAAGCCCCTGGGGACATTCAGCTGGCTGCTGCCCCCATGCAGAGCACATTGCTGGTAAGGTTGCAGAATTCAGCCTCAGATAGATGCCATTCAGCTGGAAGTTCAGCTGGCACTCAAAAAACCATCAAAGCTCCAGTCTGCCCTGAAGGAAAAAGCAGACAAAGCTCAAGAGAAACCAGTGATGTTGCTGCAGCTGATGTAGCCAGAGCCGGGGGGGGGGGGGGG